TCTCAGTTTCTGGGCAGAGACCAAAACAGAAAATATGTCCTATTAATATGGAAAGCAGCTTTGTCAGCCCCTGGAAATTTTCATAACTCCCTAGAGAAGCTTGAAAGCTTGGGAGAAATTCTGGACCTTACATTATTACATTCCGAGCAAGAAGCAAAGGTCCCGCCTACCCACCCCTTACCCATGTCAGTTGTGACCTGGATGAGTAAAGCCCCAACTTTCCCTTATGGAGGCATGCACCTGGGTGAGAGAGCCAATACTGGCTTGGAAAGGGCACAGCTCCCTCAGCCAACCCAGCCCCTGCTCACTTCCTGTCCTTTGGAGAATGAAACACGCAGCCTGGACACTGGCTCCAAGGTTTCTGCATGCTGTTGTCTTCTCCTGTGGGCTGCTGGTCCTCATCTTCATTGTCTACTTGCTCCTCTTCCTCTTCCTCCTCCTCCTGGCTACCCTGCGATTCCGCACTGCCTGTCAGCTGAGTCATGGTGAGATGAAAGACGTGGCAGCTGAAGCCTTCCCTGATTCCATACTGCACATGCTCCTGAAGGTTCTCCACCGTGGGGAAGACCCTGCAGCAGGCCATGCACCTGTAGCCATTGTCAATGGTCACCAGCCAGTCAGGCGTCCTAGCCCTGGGTCTCTCCTCGACTGCAGGTGACCCTGGTGGGCTCTCTAGCTCTGCCCTTTCCTCGTGCTCTTTCTCCTCCCCGCTGGGTTCGCTGTCAGACAGGAGATTTCTGGTGGACACATCAGAGGGGGGAGTACCTACCCGCACATTCTCAGGAAGGGTTACTTCTTCCATCCTAGGTTGCTTTTCTACTGACTCTGATGTTTCCTCTGTCTCCCAGGAGACAGCCACACCTTTTTTCATTTGTACCTGCATGTAGTATATTTTCATGCCCCTTTTCTCTTTGTTTAAAGACAGAAAGGATGTGCAAGTTTTATAGGATGAAGGGGAGGACACAGAGACATGTTTCGAGTGGGAAAGAACCTCCCCTGGCTCCTGAACCTGGGGTAAGGGTGATCTACGCTGAGAGCTGTCTTGATGTATCCTCTGGGATCCTGGGAAAGAAAATTAGAAACGTAAGAAGGGCACGGGTGGAGTATGACAAGAGCTGGGGTAACATAAATAAATTAAACATAAGTGTTGGGAAGAGTCGAGAGACAGTGGCATGAGCTTGGTATTTGTTGTTCGTATTGTGAAGTGGTATATCTGGTGTTACAATAAGCGTTTCATTTGTGTGTAGGGATATTGAGGGGGTTGTGGTGTGTTCTGAAAGAGGAGTCGTGAGTATGAAATGTTGGTGCCATCTAATGGGGGATG